CCCCAAAACCCCAAAACCCCAAAACCCCGTAAAGAAAATATTGCCATTCTTAAATTAATTAGTATATTAAATTTCAGATTTCTTTTTAAAATGTATTTCTCTTTTAATTATAATTAAAAATCAATAGCTCTATCTGCATTAACCTTATTAAATCAAGTGAATTCATAATCATCATAATCATACCAGTTTTGCTCTCTCAGCATCCAAATAAAGCTTTGTATTCTGTTATTTTTATCTTTCTAAAATTCCTGATACCATGATCTTGGATCAATTTATTGTTTATTGTATTTGTCTAGTAATCTAGTAAGAACTTCAGCAACATCATTCTCGCTTTAAAAGATACCTCCAGTTTAATCATTAATGTAATGCTTACCCCCAATTATGTTGTTGTTTACTACTACAGTAGCATTTAAAAACAAAGCCTATGTTATAATTCTCGGAGAAGCATCAGAAGTTGCAGTTATCAGCACAACTTTTACTTTATCGAAAAAATTAGCGAATTAATAGAACTTATCAAAATATGGTTCCCAATGTATCCTATCAGTATAATTTAAATGAGATGGAATCTTTTTTCCCGATAGAAATATTGTCAGATTAGTTTTCTCTATAATTTATTCCATACATTTAACAGCTAAGTTCCAGTTTTTGTACTCTTCAATCCAGATATTGTCTTATGTCGAATTAGTATCTGGTATTTAGATCATGACATCATAAATTTTTTCTTCAAGCTTAGGTAATACATATTTATCTCCTAGTACTTTATCAATGACTGCCCATTCTGTATCAGAGTTAGGTAGCATTATCCTAGGCACTTTGGGGTCCAAATATTCTTCAGGCTCGTCAGCAAAATGAAACCATCCTACAAATGTCTTCATTATATCTTGGAATCTTGGATTTAGTAGATTTTTTTATTTGCTAGATCTTTAACCTGGAGTATCGATATATTTTGGGTAAGTCATATATGACATTCTACCTATAGGCATGAAGCCTCTACTTAGCATTTTCCAAAATATTTTCATATTTTTTTCGTCTAAAGGCTCTACAACTGCTAATACTTTAGCACCATCTACTTCTTTTTTCCCATGCTTTAAGGTGAAGACCTTGAAAAATCTACCTTTGATTGGCTCATCATCTATCATTGGCATTCTCCAATATTTGTAACCGACAAAATTATTTCTAGATTGAACATCTCTTTCAACTATTTTGTCATAATCTACGAAATGATTCTGCAGATAATTTTGAGCAAGACTTGCATTATGATGAATAT